AAACAACTCCTCCTCATGAGGACGTTACGATAGTCTTCCACTACGGGGTGGCGAGTTCGTGATCCAGTGTAGGCGACTCTTACTTCTCGGTAAATCACAGAAAAGGAGACGCCAGATGGTAGATATTCTCCAACCGAAACCTGCCTCGAACACAGAGAAATCTCTTTAGGCAATCTTTGACAGCTTTAGAGAGGTTCGAGCTGTTCGAGAATTCCTTTAATTAGGTGGAGTTTCGTACTAATTAATTGTTAACACAAAAGAAAGACGACTACCTCGAATATCCGAAATCTATTCTATCTCAGGGACAGAGACTGTCGTGTCTTCGCGTTTACTTGGGTGAAGAGCAGCATTAGATTCTGTTTACAAACGCGACAGAGATAAATAAATCGAAAGCACATGCCATAACACAAACTACACGAACCGGGAAATAAATCCTGGATAAAAATACACTTTTTTATGCGGATGAAACGGTATTTATAGAAAACAAAAAAATCGAGCTGCGTGGGCTCTCGGTGATGATGCGTCCCACTTGTTCCAACCGAACCACACCATCCGAACAATTAACGAGTGTTCGTTGACAGATGTTCCCGGTGGAAACAAGAATCCCGTTTTCGGAAACGAACTTGTAAAACTCGACTTATATTTTTAGGTAAACGATTAAATTTTTATAATGAGTATCAATATAAATGTTTTGAATGAAACTGAAGTAGAACTTTATGGAGAGTATTTGCCAAAGTAGCTTCCCAGGCGTTTATTATTGTCCTAAACTACTACGTTGTCGTCTGCCGGTTTATTTTCGTCTCACCGGCAGGTGCTTAATTTAAATACCGCAATTGGCGGTTGGACTTTTCTTTTTTTGGAAGGGACAGTTGTACCGCCGCACGGTCCGTAAAGCAATGGTCGGCAGAAGGCTTACAGTTAAGAAGACTAAGAGATCTGCTCGATACAGAACGAACCAGGACCCAGGGACCCTTGTCTCTGGGACAGTTTATGTCCCCGATGGTAGACAGATAGTGGAGTCTCGAGCACAAGCGAGACAACGGCCCAGCACGACACCGCTGGTGACATTACTGGACCCAGCGACGTTCCCTGGTAAAGGTTGGGATGAGAGGAGCGAAGGGTAAAGCAGATAAAAGGGGGCAACGCCGTAGGTAGTAGTGGTTGGTAGTCTCTGGATTTTTTATCGGTCGTGTCACGACCGTTAATTTATTACCGGGTGCTCGGCAAGAAGACATGGGTATACGTTACTAGCCACCCCCGCTCGTATGGAAATCTAATTTGAGATCGACGAGGTCTTTTCGTTCTTACTCTTGATGAAACCGGCGAAGAAGTCCCACGCGGACTTGCAACCGCGCCGTCATCCACTTTGATTTTGAATGGACGCCATTTGCATAATCGTAAATAATAAACGCGAAGGGGGAGGGATCGGGTCGTTTAAAATTCAAAATGCGATCTCGAGTGGAGAGGCGACGCAATTGAGTTATTTTAGCCCACCGCACCTCGTTATACAATAGAAATAATTGAAGAGACGCGACCCGCTGTGTCTGCACTTGACTTACGGCCCATATTTCAACGTAGAAAGGAAAAAAAAACGTTTCATTACCGAGAGCACGGTAATGGTTCTCGGTAACTCACGGACCGAGCCTCAAGTATGCAAATGCAGGTGGACACAAAACACCAAACAAAGCCTTGTTTACAAAATTTTACCAAATCTACAAAACACGTGCTACACAATTTCATCAATCGCCTCGTTTATTCGTACAGACATTGATCGATTGTAGTTCTAATTCGCACTCGTCTCGTCAAATGGCTTTAATTAATCACCGCAACGATCACCTCGTGTAGTGTAACTGGGTAAAAAATAAGGAGTTGAAACGAGTCTGTCTCGAGAGTTCAGGGCCTTGACTTTGTATAGAGGAAAGGTGTTGGAGGGAAAGACGAGGAACGAAAGCTTTACAATGAGTTTTGAGTGTTGCCACAGCGCTTCTGGGAAAACGAACCTCCTTGATTTTCTCTTGTCGCGTCCGACCTGTTTATACAACACCTTAGTTCAATTAAGATATTGAATTAGATAGACTCGACTGACCGGTACGCTAGTATTTCCCTTATCGTTCCGATCAGGCGATTAACGCTGGAAAAGCTGTGGCGTTTAAAATTCCATGGGTGCCGTGGATTCATTGCGGTAGTACGTGATTTATCGAAAAACGTGTAAGGAATAGCAATATTACACATATGTTTGAGAAAAAATTATGAAAAATTCAAGAATCATCATGTGGCTTACCCTTGACCCAAAAAACACGTTAAAAATAAAAAGAAAATGCGGAAAATTGTATAACATACCGAAAAATCACATTAAAGTTTCGATGTGACGTCACAAGCAATGTATTCCTATTAAACCAATCAACACCTAATCTACAAATTGTTTATTTTATAGCCACGCACAAAATCAATCTGATAAACTTAAAAGTAAAGTTATTTTCACTAAACTAGGTGAGTTTATAACGTATATTTACGGATGAAACATCCTTGTTTTTCTTAGGCTTTCGATGCATAACGACTGACTACTTATCGTTAGATAGACTTTGTGTTAATACTAGAACTATCACTAGACCTATAACTAGAAACATTCGGGTTTAGCCGATTCTAGTTATAGGTATTTTGTTAGTTCTAGTGATAGCGCTAGTGTAAAACTAGAACTAACACTACACTGAGAACTAGAAACATTCGGGTTTAGCCGCACGTCTCTCAAGACGGCTAAACCCGAATGATTCTAGTTCTAGGTATTGTGTTAGTTCTAGTGCAAAACTAACACTAGACTAAAAACTAAAAACATTTGGATTTAGCCCCACGTCTCTCAAGACGGCTAAACCCGAAAGATTCTAGTTCTAGGTTTTGTCTTCGTTTTAGTGATAGTACTGGTATAAAACTAGAACTAACACTAGACCTAGAACTAGAAACATTCGGGTTTAGCCGCACGTCTCTCAAGACGGCTAAACCCGAATGATTCTAGTTCTAGGTGTTATGTTAGTTCTAGTGCAAAACTAAAACTAACACTAGACTGAAAACTAGAAACATTCGGATTTAGCTTTAGTTTTAGATTTAGTTTCTCAAGACGGCTAAACCCGAATGATTCTAGATCTAAGTCTTGTGTTAGTTCTAGTGATAGTATTAGTGTAAAACTAGAACTAACACTAGACCTAGAACTAGAAACATTCGGCTTTAGCCGCACGTCTCTCAAGATGGCTAAACCCGAATGATTCTAGTTCTAAGTCTTGTGTTAGGTCTAGTGCAAAACTAGATATGCGCAAATCGTGTATTGCAATACCAATACTGTGATATTGGTTGCATACTTGCAATGATGACGTCGGGTACGATAATTAATTAACACGCTGTATATGATTATCACGGCCGATGACGTGACAAAAAGTATAAATGATACGTTCTTAAGTTATACTTTAATCCAGAGATGTTTTTTAAGTATTTATACAATTCTAAGAACGTGATTTCTAAAAGGTTACAGATTCGTACCGTTGTGTTCGCTCAGGGACGTAAACAGGCCCATCGGGATCGAGTAGAACATGTGTGATCGTAAAAGGCCGATCGTTTCCTTTTGCAGTTAATATTTCCCCTTCCAGATAGCACACGACAAGCTATACGTCCCCTGCGATCATTAACGTCTGTAGGCGCTCACGTCGGGTCGCCGTCATAATGGTAAATACCGATTTTACACGTTCGAAATACGTCGCAGGTAATGAATGGATGCCAACGGGACCAGTGATGGCATCAACATATACACAGCCATATATTTCCACATCGAAATGACGTGCACGCGTAAATCAACCTCGTACATTAAACACTGAGTGTTTCAAGGTCGAAACCGTCTTGTTCTGGTGTTAAAACGGTTGAAATTATGCGTCCGCCGAGAGCTTCATTATCCATTTAGCGACCGATTTGGCGTCTCGCGTGTCCAGCGGCTCTGAACAGTATTTCAGGAAGATGGCATCTCGTTAAATGCCGACATGCGACAGAAAACCAACAGCGGACGTGGCCCTTAATTTATGTATACTGAACCTTTAAAATCTGTAGGTAGTCACCTGTGGTGCCGATGCGTGCTCACGACTCCGTGTACTCCTCCGGATTCTCTCTATCCTCGCCCCCCCTACGGTCGTCCCTTGTCCTTATGCCTTATTCATGGGGGCTTCGAACATTTATCAAGGCAAGCCGGGCCTACGCCTAACCGTATCTGCAATTTTCTTAATTGGCTGCACGTCTACATGCGCACACTACATGTATAAATAAATAGTAGCTATCGAAGCAAACTTTTTCTTTATATTTTTCTCACGTTTATGCTCTAATCTTCTTCTGAAAGTCCGAGTAAATGTAATTATCTCAAAGGAATCGGTCATAATCCAATTCAATTCTAAGTAACTACCGCGTAAGAGAAAAGTTTGGTTTGTTCTCGCTTGCTAAATGCTAAAGTAAATCGTACGTTAAGTGCTTTATAAAAGATTAATTCGATGAGTACAAGAAAAAGGGGTCGCCTGAAGCGCCATATGCTCCTTCCTGTTCTCTTTCCTTCCCAATGGCGGGTTTAAGAGGCGCGAAAGCATGCGGTAATTGCAAATACGGCCCGGTGACGTCACGCTTTGATCCGCTGCTTAAATCCCCACGGGGAAGAGCGTAATTGACGTCCGTATCCTTCGACCCTATTACCGCCCCACGCCCTCCGTATTACTGGGTGCAACAGAGTGCATAGAAATGCAGTTATAGGATGTCGAAGGATGTTTAACTTGAGGGTGTTTTGAGATGTGCTTCGGGGGCGGTCACCCTCACCCTATAAGAACGTGATTTCGGACGCAATAACTCCGCTTCTATTCAGATCCCCTCATCTTATTTTATGGGAAATAAATTGACTTCATTTTAATCTTAAAAAAAAATAATATCGTATTAAAACTTTTTAATGTGTTTCCTAACTAAGTAAATGTTTTCTTTTGTTTCAGATTGTCATGTTAGGAGGGGCGATCAGCCGACGGTAGTCTAAAAAATAATCTTCGTCATTTCAAATAGATGATATTGGAACGACTATAAGAGGCAGAATACGATGAAGCCGTCCGCGAGCTCGTCATTGCTGGTGGCAGCGATTTTGATGTTGACAAACATTCGATATAGTGCATCTAGTAATTCGATAGTGTCCTCGATGCATTCTGATCCAGATTTTGAAGGAAAATGCGAACTGATTACGATACCGATGTGCCTGACTGTTGGTTACAACTACACGCGAATGCCCAATGAGTTGAACCACGATACTCAAGAAGAAGCTGGCATGGAAGTCCATCAATTTTGGCCTCTGGTAGAGATTAAATGTTCGCCCGATTTACTGTTTTTCTTGTGTTCAATGTACACGCCGATTTGCTTGAAGGATTATGCAAAACGATTACCGCCGTGTCGAGGGCTATGCAGAAGAGCGAGAGAAGGTTGCGAACCGATTATGCAACAGTACGGGTTCAAATGGCCGGATAGAATGGAATGCGAACAATTTCCCGAGTTCGGGTTATCTGATAACCTCTGCATGGATGAGAATAAAGAAAATAGTCCACAAACAACGCAAAAATCAACCACGCCGCGTTCCAAACACAAACCACGTTGTAAGGATCCAAAAAACTGCCCAGTCACCCCAGGGGAAAAAAAACCAAACGATTGCACGTGCCATTGCAAAGCGCCGCTAATTCCACTGGGGAAAGACTCCATCCTGTACAACAGAAGCGTCGCCGCCGGAAGCGTCCCAAATTGTGCCCACCCGTGCCAGGAGACGTTCTTCAACGCAGACGAAAAAGAGTTCGCGGCCGTATGGATCACCCTGTGGTCAGCACTGTGCGCGGCGTCAACCTTAATGACACTCACCACGTTTCTTATCGAAACGGAACGGTTTAAGTACCCCGAGAGGCCTATCGTCTTTTTGTCCGCCTGCTACTTTCTCGTATCCGTCGGTTATTTGATACGTGTCGGCGTTGGTCACAGCGAGGTGGCATGCGACGGTAATATAATCCGTTACTCATCGACCGGACCCAATATGTGCACTTTGGTCTTCTTATTGGTGTATTTCTTCGGAATGGCGTCCTCCATATGGTGGGTTGTATTGTCGTTTACCTGGTTCCTTGCCGCAGGATTGAAATGGGGGAACGAAGCTATCGCGAGTTACGCTCAGTTCTTTCATTTAGCCGCGTGGTTAATCCCTACTATCCAGACTGTATCCGTATTATTGTCCGGTGCGGTGGATGGTGATATAGTGGCCGGAATTTGCCACGTAGGTAATATGAACATGGACAATTTGAAAACTTTTGTTCTCGCGCCACTTTTTGCATATTTACTCGTTGGATTCAGCTTCCTCTTAGCTGGATTCGTATCTTTATTCAGAATAAGATCTGTCATTAAAAAACAAGGTGGAACTGGAGCGGGCGTTAAAGCGGACAAGTTGGAAAAACTCATGATTAGGATAGGGATCTTTAGCGTTCTTTACATGGTACCGGCTACTATTGTAATTGGATGCTATCTTTACGAACACACCTACCACGACGAATGGTTGTCCTCATTAACCTGCACATGTTTTAATCCAGTTAACAACAGTAAACTCCGTTCGAAACCCCTTTACTCGGTACTTATGCTCAAATATTTTATGGCACTCGCTGTCGGAATCACCTCGGGCGTTTGGATTTGGTCTGGAAAAACTTTAGATTCTTGGAGGAGGTTGTGGAGAAGACTTTTTGGCAGACCGGATATGTCTGGCGCAGGAGCTGTGTTAATCAAAACTAGACCAGGAAAGCCTCCTCCTCAATATCTCGTAGCCGGACCAGGAAGCGCATCTTTACTTGCACCAACCGGAAGCGTAGCTTCTGCTAGCCAACACCATTTGCACCACCACGTTCTTAAGCAACCTCCGCTAAGCCACGTATGACAAGTGGGCGATGGGGCCACTCCGGTCGTAGTTGCACATCCAGGACCGGGCTCTGGGCCATCGTTGAGCAACTATGGGCCCATTTGAGTGACCGCCATGTTGGCCCCTCGCCAGTCGGTCACAGCTCTCTAGTCTCAGTGCCACAAATAGTTTTTCCTTTGAACACGGATCCCCGAGCACGGTGTGTTTCGCTACGGAAGAGCCTCATTTCAAAACCTTCGTTTTTAATTTATTAAATTGTGATCAGTATAAATCTTAACGAGAGATACAAGTGTTACAGACGCTGCATACTCAAATAATAAATATACGAAAGAAAAAAAATTTGTAAGAACATATCTCCATTAACGGTCGTTTATTATTTAATTTGTATCAAAAACTGAGCGCAACTAATTGGAAAATCAATGTGAGATTTATATACGTAATTACTCGTAGGTGGAATCTGAAAATATGCGTTTTAAAAATAAAAGAAACTATTCGAAATGAATTGATGTGATTTCTGTCTTAAAAGTAGTCGAGAATGGAACGAGTGCGTATGGTGTATGTTTGATGGATTGGAAGTAATAATGTAACTGTATTCAAAAAATTTTCCCACGTTTATCGTTGTGTGCAGGCCGACGCCACGAATTGTGCCATATTTATTTTCCGACGTATTAAAATAGGGACCATGCATTTGACCATAATACAGTTATATTATGACTTTGATCGTGCGAAAGTTTCGATGCGTGCGTCTGTATAAAAACGTAATAATAATAATAATATATTCTTATAGTAGACCCCTCCCAGCTTAGTTTGTAAGGTTTTTATATGGATTAGGACCCGATCATTAATCTTTTTGTACTTATTGTGTATTTATACGTATCCTTCTTCATATTGTAAATATAATCATAATATTTATTACGACGATAACTAAAATAAATAAAGAAAGGAAGAAACGTTGAATCGTGTAAAGAAAATTAAAAGAATACGTGGATCGGCTATATTTATTGTAGTCAGTGATTATTTGTATCCAAATATAGGCGTAACGAAAGAAATTAGGCTTAGCGACATATCAACGTTTTTTAAATACCACACTCATTGACGCATGCGTATCGTTCGAACTGTATTCGCTTCATTTCGGTTTTCGATCGAAATTTATACGGTGAAGAATCAAAATAATATTTTTACCAGCCTGCTTTTGTACAGGCGCTAACAATAAACAAATACAATAAACGCATTTTTGTAATGAGCACAAAAAAAAATAAACTGAAAATCTTTTGTATATTATTTCTATAACCCATATGTACAGCAAAATATTTGTAACTGCGTGTATAGTAGTTTTTAGCTATTGTAATTGTCTGTATGCTTCAACAATGTATACGAATTTAATTATATTTTATTGTTTAAATTATATTTTTGCATTTTTACTTGTACCCTTTCACCAAAGAAAAACCAAATAAGTTGTCTCCAAAAAGGTAAGTAAGTTTTTGAGTTAAAAAATAATCAAAATTCCAAGAACTTGTACATTAATCGTTACAATGTCAAACGAGATATTAGTACTTTTTACAGAATACCCTATTTTTTATTTCAAAACAAATACGACAAATAAGATAACTCGCTCGAACGACCAATTATTAATTATTAGCAACAGATAACGCAGACTCGTTTCTACACTTGTCGCTCACGCTATTTATAAACCGCCACTTGAACGACCTATTAAAGTGACTAATCGTTCAATAAATATGTACAACGATACTCTGTATATTTGCTACCGAATGATTACCGTGTAAACAAATAAATTTCAAATATTAGCACACTATAATATTCGTTGTATTAGCTTCAAAAAGCAAATTAGAATCATTAGAAACCTAGATTGAATTATTACGTTTTATATTATTTTGATTTTTTATTAGAAACTTAAAAAAAAAAGTTGGCCCATGGGGGGATCGAACCCGCGACCTTCGCGTTATTAGCACGACGCTCTAACCAACTGAGCTAATGGGCCGTGTATAATCGGTATATATAGTTAGAATCTTGTTGAATTAGAACCACTATTGAGAATAATACTAAATATTTAACATAGCAGTATATTTATACTGCCCTACTGAACCCAAATCACATTTATCATGATGTACATAATCCGTATTTTACCCGAAGTTGTTTTAATGAAAAAAATTATATAGAAAACGTTTGTTTTTTGATTCTGTAATAATAGATATTGTAGAACTAACTGTACCTAGCTGTACCTGGAGTAACTATTGAGAAAATACATGATCACATTATGTTTTTCCTGTTAAGGAGGAGGCTAAATATCTAAATTAGAATAGTAGATACCTCAATGCTGACCTCACTATTAATTATGATACACTCATTACTATTGACAAATATGATGCTCTTTTTTGTACAAAATATCAGGACATCAAAGTAACTTATTGGTTTTAATTAAAATGTTTTGACGAAAACTTCAGTTATACTTTCGGCAGACCACAAAAAGGTATAGGTGCCATATGCGAGGAATTAGGCATAAAACTTCAAAATAATGTCTACCTTGAGTTTAGTTCCGCTGTACCTGGAGAAACTATTGAGAAAATACATGATCACATTATGCTATTTCCTGTTAAGGAGGCTAAATATCTAAATCGGGATAGAAAATACCTCAATACTGACCTCACTATTAACTATGATAGACTCATAACTATTGACTATTATGAAACTCTTTTTTATACAAAATACCAGGACATCAAAGTAACTTGTTGGTTTTAATTAAAATATTTTAACGAAAACTTTAGTTGTACTTTCGGCAGATCACAAAAATATATGTGCCACATGCGAGGAATTAGGTATAAAACTTCAAAGTAGCTTCCAACTGAAATTCAGTTTGCGCAGAAATTTCAGTACACAAAAACGCAGTAAAAAATGAATGAGATTAAAAATATTTGTATGGATCGAAACGAGTTGCATATATTTGTCGTAATTAGCTGCAGAATCTGCCTCTGAATTCGTCTACAGGATTTTTTTTTGATACTGCTGCCATGGGTGTATGTATATGGACCTTCATTTATGCTGTGGTATTTGACAATGAGGACCAAACGAAGTTTGCACTTTTCTCAATAATTATAAGTGTTACTAACAATATACCAGAAATAGCAAAAATCTTTTCCCTCTTTGGTGACTTTCGGCAATTTTTTTTTAGCATTCTTCCGATATGGTATCTCTATTCTCTCTGACAATGTCCTACTCTCTCTATGGCTCTACAGCCCGAATTGGCCTTGCCTTCCTTAACTTTGCCTCCAATTTTTCCTCTCTCTCTCAGTTTCTTTCCCCGATTATCCCCTTAGTATCTCGGTCGACTGCACCTTCCCATCTCATCCTCCGCCGCTTTCGCGATTTCATTCCTTGCAACCTTTTACCACTTAAACATTCTCTCTTCTGCCATTTTAATCACATACCCAACACATTTTCAACTCTGGATTCTAATGAACCCCGAAATGGTAGGTCCTTAAATTTCTCGGATTTCTGCCGGTTTCTGAGTCCATGATTCATGTCCATGATTCACTACCCTAACTTACAATCGATAGAACTCAAGAAGGTAATTTCCCTAAAACTATTTGGATTTGTTCTTTCACCCTTCTTTGGTATTGGTGTCAGTATGCCCCACTTACGTTGAGATGGATATCCTTTTACTTTTCATAGTTTTGTTATACACTCTGTTATATTTCATCTAACGCTGCGTCTCTGCCATGTTTAACCAGCTAGATTGTTATTTCATCGATACCTGGAGATTTTCTGTTTTTCAAATCCTGAATTGTTTGTTTCATTTTTTCTTTGGAGAATGTGAATACCAGTTGAGTATTAGTTTCTACGTCTGCTTGAGGAGGTTTTGTGTTTTCTTCATTTTCTTTCATGTCTTCATATAACTTCATGAAGTATTTTTCCCAATTTTCCGCCTTTATCCTTGTGTTTGATTCACTCTTCATATTTTTCTTCGTATGTTATTGCGCCTGATCTTTTCTGTAAATAGGATCATCTATTTTTTCCGCAACTATATCCGTCACTTTTTAAATGAAATATGGACTTGTGTTAGGTCTTGCATTTCCTGATGTGACTCTTCTACCTAATGCTTCCTCTGCCGATTTAATCATAGTAGAGTGTAGTTTTTCCATACAGTTTCAGTATTGTCGTGATCCTGTATTCTGTTTGTCGATACTTTTTCCTCAAGTCTTTGTTGATATAGGTACTTAAATTAATTATTCTTCAGTTGAATCTTTGTTTAGTTTACTGCTTTCCTGAATGGTTATTTTTCTTAATTATTCTTCCTTATTCTGTGGTTAGTTTCCGTATTTGCGTACGACAAGTTACTCACGTCTAGTATTTTCCTGGGGTGAATATTTCGTTCATGATGATAACTAATCTATTAATGATTTTTGGCCACTACTTTGGAAGGTATGTTTGTCTTGTCGCTTGTTGGGATATTATGTATTGTTGTATGTCTCTCCCAAGATTAATTTCATCCCTTTTCGGCATACCATTCAGTACAGTTTGCAGATTCTAGTAGAATGTATCTATCTCTTCCTTTAATTTGTTGATAAGGTGTGTTGTTTTACCTTTTTGACAGCTGGCCGATAATTTATGTTGTTTCGAATGATGTATCAGAATTTCAACTATTGACGGTGCTAATTTCTATATGTGGTGTTGCCCTTTCCTTTCTCTTTTGTTTCGGAGATCGCTAGTATATCGATTGTGTGGCTGTTCATTTCTAATATTACATCTTGATTTTTATTGTTGTAAGATTTTATATTGCAACATCAACTTCTCACTGTAGTTTGGTAAAAATTTGGTAATTTTTTTTTCCAAACAGCAACCAGAAGGTTCTGTTGAGGCCTCAACTACAGGCATACCAGACCACTTACACCATAGCAAAGATTTGCAACGCTGCATTCACATGCAGCTGCTCTGCATCAATTCGTGAAAATCTCGACCGTATAGCATTCTAGAATTTGAGATGATGAGTAAGTACTTTATGTTTAATTGTGTTTGGCTTGGGGAGGTTTAGTTGTGATGTGCCGCAGCGTAGTCATCTATCACAGGATATTTCGGCAAGCTCCCGAAAAGTAAGTTTGGTGTTTACCGTGATCTCAAAGAATTTGACGCTGTGGTGGTAATTTCTTGTTGGGTGGTTGTAATATTTATTTCCACCGGCATCCTTGACTTTTATCTATTATTTTTATACTTATTATCCACCGGCAGGTGTGTATCTGCCATTCTTTTCGTCTGTGTATTATGTAGTGTTGTAATCACCATTATGTCTAATTTGTAATTATTATATTAGTTTGTTACATAATTTGTCTGTAATCTTTTACCCTTGACTAATTGTGTATAAGGAGCCGTACCTTTATATATTAATACTCACATTATCTTCATAACACATCTTATAACCAATCATAATAACAAATCAGTTCATTTATGTAACATTATTTATGAAAAGACGTAATTCATTCTTACACTATAGTGTGAGATACATTAATTTGGTTTCATTTCTTCTAACTGAATAATTTGATAAATGATATCTCTGGTCGACGTTGCTGTATTTTTTTTTGTTTTTGCCAATATCCAAATTTCTTTTGCCATCGTGTCCATAATTGCTGCTTCTACAAGAATGATCAGGAAGAAAAATTTTTTCCTGGTCATTTAGCGTATTCTCGACATTTTTCTTTCTTCGGTATTAACAAAAGTTACATAATGAATCTGTGCTTTTCTATAATTCAAATTTATTATGTTCAATACTGGCCCATTCAATACGTCTAGTAAAATGGCACCAGAAAAGGGCTTGAGTTTTCTGTACTCTCATATTGATTATATATGTCGGGACAGAGAGAACGTTGGTGGTGTCAGTGAGGAATAAGGCGAATGTTTCCACCTGGACATTAAGGACAAGATAAGAGTTACTAGGAAAGATGTATTGCTACCATGATGGTTGACTACAGTTTTATGCTAAACAGAGAAAGCACTTTTAAAGAGAGAAAATCAAAGATAAGAAATCAACTGGAGACAGGAAATCAAAGTCATACAAAACGTCTTTAATGGCTAATGCAGTACATTGTTATTTCATGCAAGGTTACTAACATCCAATTTATTTTATTTAATAAAATATCTTTACCTACTTAACACAATACAATTTTAGTTGAAACATCAAAAGTAATTTGTACATAATTATTATACATATAAACTAATATCAGATGAAATCTGTACCAAAAAAACTTTCAAGATCGTCTTATTGTTTAGCAAAATCTTCATTTTGTACCGCATATTGCTCTTGAATATGCAGCTCTATGCAAGCTCTTGAAACCCTCACAATACATATCATCTGGAAACGCCATATGTTAAAATTGTCACCCCACTTTATATAACAAGAA